CATAGGAAGTTATGATATTATGTGAACTCTATCCAGCATTACATGTGTATGTGCAATATGATAACTTGTAGTTATTTTACCAGGTGAAGATATTTGATACTTGGGGTGTTATTCCTGATATCATAATTCCAACACCTATCATGGTTCTAAGAATGGCCACAAAATTATGATTCTTATTTTTATTATTATGACTAAATAGATATCACTGTATAAACATCGATGAGATCACAGTAAGACGATGGATATGTTATATTTACCATTAATTAGGAAATAGCCTGATAACCCAATACATCATAAATGGTTTACTAGTAATTGTTATTGTTAGCATTAACTCACAGCGTGTGTCTTGTGTGACACTTGCCACTCCCCAGGAAATGGGACCATTAGTTTTACACCCAAATAATTACCTCATTCTTTTAGTTTATACAATTACATTAATATTATTATTATTATTATTATTATTATTATTATTATTATTGTAAAGGAAATGCAACTACATGTAATTCTTAGCAACTAGTGCCCAGCGGTCTGCATTAGTATGTAGAATTATTGTTAGCCACCCATACCTGATTGATTATCATTATAACTACATTCATCATTCCTGCGGGGGCAGTTTCTTCATTACTATCTAATTCTAGGAGAGAGAGATTAAAGCTTTATAATTACTATTATTTCCCATCCTTGGATCAGTACTGATGTACATATAATGTGCTGATGCTCACAAAGTGAATGTGTGTGGCTCTTGTTTGTGAATGGATGATCATAACGAGGTTAAAGTGCCTCAATGTTTGCATACAATTATAATTTCTTCCTTTTGCTTTGAGGAGTCGGTGAACATGTGTTCTCCCTCCCACTCCTTTCCTTTTTGTGACCATAACTTTGTTTGTCATTAGTCACTTTTACTACTCCCTCCCCCCTCCCTCTCTCTCTCTTTACCATGAACTGTGTACTAGCCTTACTCTCTCTCCCTCAGTCTCTCTGTCTCTCATAAGCACAAACACGTGTACATACTAAATATTACCTCATTTCCTTAATTTCTACTGTGTTTACTCTACTCTACTCATATCCTTTCTCTCCACTCTGTCTCTCTCTCTGTCTCTCTGTCTCTCTGTCTCTCTTTGTCTCTCTCTCTCTCTCCTGTAGCTTCGTGAGTTCTGTATATATGCCCAGTGTGCTAGGATGACTGAGGATACTCCTCGCATTGAGGAGTGCATTCGATTGTTCAATGGTATCACCACATGGGTAGTCTGTAACATACTCAGGGAATACACTATACTCAAAAGAGCTGATATAATTGAGAAATTCATTGACGCTACAAAGGTACAGTATAATATACATGTATGTATATATGATACTGTATTATAATTGTCAGTTTGTCACTCTTGTTTACTCATCTATTTTCTCTCTTTATTCTTCTTCTTTTTTTTCTCCAGTATCTTCATGAGCTCCATGGTTATAATGCTATGCTGGCTGTTGTTGGAGGCCTCAATCATTTCTCAGTAAAGAGACTCCAACAGACCTGGAGCAAAGTGGATAAGAACAAGAAAGATGTAAGGAGAGAGAGAGGGGAGGGAGAGAAAGGAGAATATTATTCATTATCCTCTAATCTTCCTCCATTAGGAGTTAGAGAAATGGACTAATTTCTTTTCAATGGATTTTAATTACTCAACCTATCGCAAGCAGCTTCAAGACCTCTCAGCAGATGAATTCCAGCAGCCAGCACTGTAAGAGCTAATCACTGTCCACCATTATTAGTGTATATACATGTACTGTATGTAGGGGCATCCTATTGAAGGATCTTGTGGCTGTCAATGGTCAGTCTAAAGACTACAGTGACAAATCTGCTGGATTGATAAGCATGTCTAAGTACAGGAAACTATGGCAACAGTTGTCAAGGTTACACCAGTATCAGGTAAGGGAGAGGTCCTTTTATTTTGTTACATGTACATATGTAATGTGTGATATCCCTGTATTATAATTATGGTACATGTGCATGCATTATTATTAGTACATGTCTAATATAATTGTTTATAATGTGTTTGTGTGTTTAGGTGACTGCTCCTGCTCTTACTCCTGATACTGAGAGGATAAGTGTGTTCAGGGCAGCCATTACTCAAAGTGAAATGACTGACGATGCACTGGATGAACTATCAATGGTAATGTATGATAATAATAATAATAATAACAAGCATTAAAGAATCAGCCATTTTTAAAGGGACCAATTTCTGAACGATAGTCCATGTTACAAAATCACCCCTCAATTTTTATTATATTTTCTGATGTACACATATATTGATGTCCTTATGCTATGTAGAAACTTTGAGCTGTTTCCGACAAATAATTTTTGAGTTATGAGCATTTTAAAAATTGAACCATTTTCTGAAAAATACCCAAGGCTATACATGGTTTTTTCCAAAAAATGGCTCAGAAATCACCTCCACTTTTTATTACATTTTCTGATACATATTGATGTCCTTATGCTATGTAGAAAGTTTGAGGTGTTTCCGAAAAATATTTTTTGAGTTATGAGAATTTTTAAAAACAAGACAAATTTTGAAAAATACCCAAGGCTATAGCCCATGGTTTTTTCCAAAAAATGGCTCCGAAATCACCTCAAATTTTTATTACATTTTCTGATGTATATTGATGTCCTTATGCTATGTAGAAAGTTTGAGCTATTTCCTACAAATAATTTTCGAGCTATGAGCATTTTAAAAATTGAGCCATTTTCTGAAAAGTACCCAAGGCTATAGCCCATCGTTTTTTCCAAAAAATGGCTCCGAAATCACCTCAAATTTTTATTACATTTTCTGATGTATATTGATGTCCTTATGCTATGTGGAAAATTTGAGGTGTTTCCAAAAAAATTTTTTTGAGTTATGAGCATTTTTAAAAACGAGACAAATTTTGAAAAATACCCAAGGCTATAGCCCATGTTTTTTTCCAAAAAATGACTCCAAAATTACCCTTAATTTTTATTACGTTTTCTGATATACTTTAATGTCCTTATTCTTTGTAAAAAGTCTGAGCTGTTTCCAACACATAATATTGAGCCAAATTGAAAAAAATCATGGAAATCAACCAGGTAGAACCAGTTCCATTACCTGGTGATCCGACATTATGCTCTGTCACTCTTGATTTCTGATTGATTCCAATTGAATCATGCATGTACATGTATGCTCAATGATGCAATGTATGACCATTTCACTAAATTATATTTAAAAATTCCTAAGATTTTACATGCTTTGCTACTAGTAAGAATTGTGTTGTTGTTCATGTGCAATCTATAACCACAAAAATACATGGTAGTGATGGCATGTTTACTATACATGTATATGTAGCATGTCTTACTCATTGTTTTGCTTTCTATTCTTCTTCTATTATTAAAATTTTACTCATTTTCTATTTCTCTCTCACCTGTTCCTTTTCTTTCACCCATTCCTCCCTCCTCTCTCTCCCTCAGATTCGTGAGCCTCCTGTAGCTGATGGTAAAGGTGGTAGTCCTACAAGGAAGGAGAGTAAGCTCCCAAAGTTTGCTGACTGGGCCCAAGGGAACATGCCACAGTTGGATGCAGATGCAGTCAAGAAGCATGTGGCAAAGATGGTTGATGTAAGCTAATAATTCATGTACATGTAACTACCACAGGATGGAAGATACTCTCAATCTAACAATTTAGACTACCATATAATGCTTTATTTTGGCGATTTTGCTGTAAAATTGTAATTGGCGGTTTTTAATTTGGCGATTTTTGTGTACAAGTGCATTACTGAGCATGCGCATTAAATGATTGGCAGTTTTAATATTAGCAATTTTGCTTGCAAACCGCCAATCGCCAAAACTCCGCCAAATTAAAGCATTATACGGTATTATACATGTATTTTGCTAAAATTTCACGGCCCTTAAGATCCTCAATTCTCTTATGCATGTCATGTATTGATGTCTTTATGCTGTATAACTTACCATGAGATTAGTTTTTCTCTTTTCCTTCATTCCTCTTCCTCTCCCTGTAGTCTGTATTCAGAGTATATGACAGAGACTCCTCAGGTTATATTAGCATTGATGAGTTTCAGTCCATTTCGTCAAACTTTCCATTCATTGAGTCATTCTCAGTACTAGACAGAGACAAGTAAGTATTATACACTCTTGGTATTACTTAGATGAATATACATGTACATTGTACATCGTAACCATGCAACTAAAAGCTTAAACTGATGGAAATAGACACTATTGTCTCACTCTTTAAACTTTAGTACTGCCAATGTACATGTAATTATCTTAGCTTCTTTTGTGTCTATGAGTGCACATTACAGTCATACTGTTAATGATACGATAAATGAGTTTATTTGTTTCTGTTTCTATTGTTAGAGATGGTGTTATCAGTAGAGATGAGATGATGGATTATTTTCTTAGTGCCAATACTTCACTGAGAGAGAGTTTCAAACACAATTTTGTAGAGCACACGTTCATTGGTACACAATACTGCCAGCACTGCAAAGGAGTGGTGAGTTGGTCTTTTGTCAAATTTTAGAGCAACTTAAAAATTTTATGAAAATTCAATTTAGATTGGAATCAGCTCAGTCAAAAATGGCTTTATAGAATACTTTTTTGATGACCACATACATGTACATGTTCTTATGCTGTGTAAAAAATTAAACCCATTCTGATCAAAATTATACTTTTACATGTTTGTAGAAAGCTTGCTAATATTGTCCTAATAATTTTAAGTGGTGAAGGATTCTTATTTTTGTGTGTCACTTTCTTTTTCCCCTCCTCTCCCTCTCTCTCCAGTTAAAAGGTATAGTCCGTCAAGGTGTTCGTTGTAAGGATTGTGGTATCAGTTGTCACAAACACTGTAAAGACTATGTTGTGGTTGATTGCAGCAAACACACCGAGAAGAAAAGTAACCAAAAATAATAATAATAATAATAATAATAATAATAATAATAATAACAACAACAATAATAATAACAATAATAATAATAATGTATTGTGTAATTGATTGTTATTTGTATTGATAGAGCGTGCAAGGCGTTATACTGCAGTAGCCTCAACCAGCAATGGTGAGTATGATGTGAATGATGAACTGTCACTGAAGGAAAGACTGAGGAGAGCTGAATCAGTAAGAACATACCACTAGACACTTATAACTACATATGTACATGTACAACTCACTGTACATATGTTCATTATTGCACTGTTTGATTCTTTACTAGGCAAGAGATGCACTATCAGCAGAGAATTCTGAGCTCCTTGGTAAACTGGCAGAGGCTAATGCTAAGATACAGCAATTAAATGGATACATTGCCACTATACGTCAGCACACTATTGGATTCATATTGGAACAAATGAACACACTACAACCACAAATGGATACTCCTGTCTAACCTTCTGACTATTCACTATTAATTGTGTGTGTGTATTTTTAAAAGTTATCATTAATTTTTGTTGTTTTGATCATGATTATTAATATTACTTTTGCTCTAAGGGAATTTAATTTGTAATTCATTGTTTACAAATCAAATTATCATTTACTCTAATATCTATGAATTAATTAAGTAAACATGAGCCACGCCCTTTTAAGTTAATGAGCCACGCGGCCCCACGGTACGTCCCCACCCTTAACTTTGTTTACTTACTTAAGGTAGCCATGATTGATATATCTCAATGGAGAGCCGCTATTGGTCACTGGAACTCCTCCAGACTTCGTTCATTGGCTCCTGCAACTGGTATTGATGCTGAAAGTTTGATGGAATCAACAAACGGCGGCGGGACTTTTAATACTTCTTTTGCTATGAAACCTGCTGATATTCCTACTGTTGATATTACTGCTGATTTCACTGCTGCTGTTACTCATATTACTGCTGTTTATTCTAACAGTACTAATCCTGATTCCACTCCTAATCCTATTGCTGAAGCCTCTACTAAAGAAACCATACCTATTTATAAGAGAATGCTGTCGTGTGATACAGTTTTATGTGCTGTCTACTTAATGATGTACTTTACCCTCCTCCTCCTTTTATCAGGAGATGTTGAACTTAATCCTGGACCTATCACTGTGGAACAAAGTACCTTTAGCCTAATTGTTAATGATTATTTTATGTTTATTTTTTAGTTCGTACACTTATATATGAATCCCTTCAAGAACATTTTGCTAGCATAGAAAAGGCTACAAAGCATTGTATTTTGAATATTAGCAGTGAACTGTATTCCAAGGATCTAATCTCAGAGGCTGTCAATGATTCACCAACATACAGAAAAATATATGATGAATTTAAAGCTGGATTATCTTCTGTAACTGATCTTTTACAATTAAGTGAAAGTTATGAGACATTCTTGAAGTGTCTTTCATGTGATGGTGGACCTGCTAAAGATGCAGTTGATAGTTTACTAATTGCTGATTGGAAAGGCATCAACAAGCAATGTGAAGAAGGTATGTAAAGAATATAATTATTATTAATGATGTACATTATTCTAGGATTACAAACTTTCAGTTTTCCTGAAACAAGTGACAGTAGGAAAAAAATTAAACTTGCTGTCTCTTCCTTAAATAAATCATTTGCTGAATTATTAGGAAAACTTAAAAAAGAATTAAAAGATACTGAAGTATCATGTATCGTAGAACGTTTACAGAATTATGGCCATGATTTGCAATTTGAAGAGTTGAAAACTGCCAGTAACGTCAATGAACTTATTAGTAAGCTGAACAAGTATTATGACTTTTTGGACTGTGACGTTCTTGAGACTATTGCAACAGAATTTACAACACAAACTTTATCACAGGCATTTCAAGATCATTCAAAAGCTGCTCTAACATTTCGCAAATCCAAATCGGTTACAGATCTCAGGGAATTTTTACAAGAAATTTTTAGACCTCACATGCACAACTTAGCTGATGCACCAAAAGCACACATACACCTTCAAGATCCATGGACAAAATTGCCACTTCAAAATCTGTTCACTCTCATCAAATGTTTCTTTCCTACATGTGATCCCTTGGCCCTAACCAAAGCAATAAACATAACATGTTCTTCAGTTCACATTACATACTTTATGACT